AACAATGGCCATGCCAACTATAACGTGGCTGGGGTTTTGCTCAAATAACATGGTCAGAAGTGAAAATTCAAAAATTTGCAAAGGTACCATTCCCAAACCTTTGGTCCTCTGCTTCTAGGGTAGCATGGACATCTATGTCAATCCCATCTCCTACATCTCACATGGCACATGCTGTACACATCCCAGGGTCTCCTTCCTGCCCTCTACCTGCCACTGCTACCTCACACAAACCTTCAGTGTCTCTTTAGGGAACTATTTCCTTACTCTCTCTGATGTCTTTTGTTTTCATTAAATGTGTTTCAGATATTTTTAATATTGTTGAAAAAAATTTTATTAGATCATTCCCCAGACAGCAGTGGTGACAGTGTCCTTGCAAGTCATCAGTCAACAAAGGGTAGGGACTGGTACCATGTGCAGGCAGGAGTGATGCTCAGGAGCTGATCAGTGTCTCATGGTGTGAGGAGGCAACAGCTTCTCCAGGTGGAATGGGGGAGTTGCTCAGTTGCCTGCTGCAGCCTGACACTCAGAAGAGCTCAGACCCAACTGCTCCACACCCAGGATCCAGGATGCTGTGTACAGCAGTCTGAATCTGAGTCTGGCTGAGCAGGCTGAAAGGCAACTCACACTTCTTTAGGATGGGTTTAGGTACTGAGACTCTTTTGTCTCTAACTCAATGCATGCTTCTCAGGCACATTTCTCCCTATTCTTCCTATGCTTATTTCAAAAGGGAAGGAATCACTGGAAATTTGTTTAAATATCACCAAAACCAAGTCTCACAGTAAGTCATATAATAAATGTAACCACCACCACCACCACCACCACAGCTGTTTATTAAGTGCTTGCCAGGCACTGTGCTAAAGCTTTACAGACATTGTTTCGGTTAATCCAACAACCCTGAGGTAGATATTTTCAGTGGCTCCCTACCCCCACCCCCATATATCATTAGAGTTGAGGAAACTGAGGCTCAGAGAGGTTAAGTAAATCAACTGAGGTCAAATTCAGCTAGTAAGTAGCAAAGCTAGTAATCTGAACACATCTGACTCCAAAACCCATGCTTTTAAACACTATGCTAGATTTTTCCCATTGAAAGGAAAAGGGCACATGCTCCTTCTCAAAATATTAGAGAGATTTTTGGTGGGGAATGGGGAGTGTTTTTAACTCCCTAAATCAGCTCTTGTACTCAATTCTTGGAGGAATGGAGAATAGTCTGGGGATAAGCTAACCACTGGGCCCCTTTCTCCTGTTTCCCACCCTCTAGGGCTGTTCTCATCTGACACCTCCCCATTCTTGACGCCAGACTACTCAATATGCTATTTTCCTTCCAGCAACTACTAAAATACCAAGGTCAGCCAAACTTGGTGACACTGGGCCAAAGACCTGAGAGAATTTAGGAAACATTCACAAAACACCCCTCATCCCTGAACTGCTGGACCCTAAGGCACACAGATGCATTTAGATGGAAACACAAATTTCCTTTTTTTCCCCAGCTTTCCAAGCCCAGCGCCATTCTGGGAATCTCCTGACCAATCTCTCCCACCCTTTAGGTCCATCCCCTAACCCATCCTGGAGGCCTCACTGATCATAAACTGGTGAGCTTATGGCTGACAATTTCTGAGAGAAATGTTCCCCAAAGTGCTCTGCAGGGATCCTTTGACCTATAAGGATTAGGCAGAGCTGGCCGAAGGACAAGAAGAAAGAACTTCAAGTGTGAGACAAGATAAAGGTAAACCAGGATATACAAAAGGAACAGCAAAAGGACAGAGCAGACAGAACAAAGAGGGACTAACCAGGGGTAAATCAACAGAGCTACCTGAGGTCAGAAACAGAAGACGGACCCAAGAGAAACAGGAATGACCCCAGAGAGAGGGATCCTAGAGACGATCTATCCAAACACAAAACCAGTGGAGTTTCTGAGGGAAGGACAATTGGGAAAAACGCTTTGGTGAAGGGGCCACTGGAGAGCCTGAGCAGAAAGAAGCTGAGTAGAAACTAGGGGAAAGCTCTGGAAAAGGAAGCTGGAACATTCCTTTAGAACATGCAATCTGAGAAGACACAAAAGGTAAGTGAGCAGGGACAGAGGACAAACAGCTGGAGGTCTCAAAGAAGGGGGACATGCATTGAAAGGCAAGAACTTCTCAAACTCCCTCAGTTACAACCAGACACACCCCACTATCCATCCCATTTATTTACAACTGGTAACTGAGGGTCACTGACAGCAGCCCTTGTTAAATTCTGCACCAGATATTGAAGGGTAGAAGAGCCACAGGTAAGGAACTTATGGAGGAGATACAGCCTAATTGTTGGCAACTTCACTTTCCGAGAGACCCACTGCCTTCACTTGAGGGAGCCTCTGATCTAAGGAGCTTTCTGAGGAACAAATACCACTTGGTGCCAATTACTAATGTCCTTGAAGTTTGAAGGGACAGAGAAGAGAGGTGAGATGAGGTAACAGACATGAAAAGATCTTGTTAGGATCCTTTCTCCATATCCTAAAACTGAGCAGTTAACCTCACTATTAGGTCACAGGTTTGAGCCAGGGATTTCAGTGCTCTCCACACAGCCACAGCTGTGTGTGTTAGGGGGGGATCAATGTTGATGGGAGAGGTCTGGGATGAGGTCCCTACCTGGAGAGTCCAGAGCTTCAAGGAACCTAGAAAGCTGTTCTCTCTACCCATCTTCCTCCTCTCTCCACATTGGTGTACAATACATATGGATGAGAACCTTTGCTTCTCTCATGTGGTTTCCTCTCCAACTAAGCAGAAATTCCTGGAGTTTCATAAAGAGCAGGTTTTATTCACACACCCTGATGTGCTGGAATGTGACAAATACTTATCACAGGTGGGGGGATCAAGAGTATTGACTACTATAGAAACATCTCCCACAAACAAAAAACTGTTATTCTTTACCCTAAGGCTTCTCTGGGACACCCATCTATCTCTATCTCTGTTGGCTCAAACCCAAAGATGTCTGTTTCTGTATCCATCTCAGGCTGAGAAACAGGCCCCTAGTCTGTTAAGAAATACAATCTCTGCCCACTTGTGGTAACACTGAAAGGGTATCTGGCTCAGAATTCTCTGGGGGACAGAGGGAGTGTCTCCCCACACTGGGCTGGCCTACTGGTAAGGATCCTTCCCCTCTCTGTCTTCTAACAGATTCAGATTAATGATCGCTCATTCCTAATTGTCAAATTTCTTTTCCTTCATCCTGTGTCTAATCACCAGTGACAGAAACCATTACGCAAATGAGAGCAGACGACTTCCCCCAACTGTTCGCGTTGGTAAAAACCTTGTAATTTAGAGCTCTGATTTGTAGGGGAAGCTGGTCTCCCCCAGGCATCCTGGGCATCTGCTCAACTGATGCCCAGAACAGCCCTTCCTCCACCCCCAAACTCCAACCCCCCAACAAATATTTGACTTTGCAAAACAGTATTCCCTCTCTACCTATTGGTATAAAAATGAGAGCTTGCTGCATGGCTGACCTCTAGAGAGGCCCCAGTCCTCCTTTTCCTTGGTATGTGGCTTCCTGTGCTACTGGCTGGGATGGGGGCAACAATGTAGCAGTAATGTTTCATCTGCTAACAAAACTTGAATCTAAATAGTCCTACTCTAGGTGAGTAAAGGGAAGAGCTCCCATGTCTTTCCCTTGGGTAGGGGAGCAGCAGACTATGAATCAAAACTATGGATCATCTAGAATTAGAGCTTCAATTCTATGATGCAGAAGCACACTAGGAAGGCCTATGGAACCTATTCAAGGACATACCGTAACACAATAAAAAACAGAGCTCATTCCCCCATAGCTGCTCCTAGCATTCCTAACCTGTAATATGACTTCCCAAGCAGTTTCCCATGTCTTTAGCTATAATCTATATAGGGGTATCACCCCAAGCTGGATCTTCACCCCCTTGGACTGCACCTGTAAGCAGCCACTAGAAGGTAAGGCCTAGGGGCAGGGCTGTGGCACAAGGGAATAAAGGTGGAAGAATCAACAATTTGGTGGAAAGGAAGGAGCAAGGGTTTGCAGCCAAACAGACTAGGTTTCAATCTTGATTGCCACTAATAACTTAATCTCTTTGAGCCCATTTCTTCATCTGTAAAGTGAGAATACCTACCTTGCAGGATAGTGAGGAACAAAGATCAAAGCACTAGGCACATATTAGGTGTCTAAAAATCAGGGTGGCTATTATAATTTCTCAAGGATCAGGAACAATCCTGCAAAGGTTCTCTCCCTCTTAACCACCTTAGGTCAGACCTGTGTTAGAACAGCACCCTGCGAGGACCAACCAGGTGGCACCTGATGCCCTGCTTCATCTCATCCACCTCTTTGAGGGATGAGCCAGGAATGCAGCAAACCTGCTGAGGAGAATGAAAATAATCTGCTCTTTCCAAGTGTGATTATGGTCAAATTTATCCTCTGTCTTTCTCTTGCTGCACTCCTCTTTCCCCAGAGAGATGGAGGCATGGAGTTCACTGCAATCACATTTCCCAGCATTGGCTGTATTTGAAAGGGCTATACTTGAGAAGGTACCATGTCTGCACAACCATACTGTATCAGAAAACCCCAGGATGGGGTACTAAAATGAACACCCTCCCCAAAATACACACACAGGTGCGCACATGCACACATATATCTTCTCAGTCCATCAGGGCACTGTAAACTGAGATTCAGGAGTGAGAGCCACAGCTCAGACACTGGAAGTAAAACCTTTGGCCGAAAAAATAAAAATGGCGGGAGGGAATAAAATCAGAGACTTCCAATTTCCTCTTCCCTTCCAAAAAGAAAAGGATGTCAAAGATGGAACTGGAAGTAAGTAGACTCTTACTACCATTCTGCCCAATTCCAAGGGCTTCACTTCCACTGAATAGATGTGAATGATGGCCCTTTGACTTGTGTAATACTCTGCTGCCCTGCTGTAAATGCAGCCCTGAGAGGGGTTCCCATGAGTAGCTACTAATAGAAAATGAAACTACTTCCATGCTCTACCAATTACCCTACTGAGGGTATCAGGGAACATTACAGCGGGGTCTGGCAGAGGCGCTGGCTTAAACAGGCAAGGCTACATTTTTTGCCCTTGCCCTGAGGTGAATGACAGGTAGTGAGTTAGCTGCCTAAGCTTGACCCCATTTCATCTACTCAGCCAGGAAGCTCAGCAGTAGAGAATATGGCCTGGACAGGGAAGGACATAGGACCCAGAGGCTTTAGCCAGTCAGCCTCAGGTAGGTTGTAGTGAGACTGAACCAACATATGATGGCTAAAATCCGAGTTAAAAAGCTGCAGGCTGTCAGGTAGTACTTCTGGGGGCTCACACTGTATTATCACACTGGAAAAGGTAAGCTGTAGAGAACCTTAGTAAACAGGGAGGCTGGCCAGTGTGTACACATGCATACCAGTGTGTAAAGAAGTATATGCGTGAGTGTGCACATACAGGCGCACACACATACACACAAGCTTGTACCCCTAGAGCCTAGAGAAGCCACAGCTAGAACCCCTGCTGATACCTAGCAGAGGGGCAAGAGCTGGTGCTGAAAGAGAAAAATTGTGTTTATAATTTGGAACGTATACACAATGTTAGGTTCTTATGTTCCAAGGTTCCTTTCTATGTATGGCTTAAGCTTGGTGGTCCCAGCTGGAACCCTATCTAATCCTCTCCCACTGGAAGGCTATTTATATTTAGGCTCTCAAAGGCAAGCCTCCCTTTCAATCTCCCCCTTAGAGTACCAGTAGCCATTCCTACCCAGTCTAGAGCCTGACTGCAAAAACTGGCAGGAGACAGATTGGCCTAAGAGTTGGACTCTGTCCCTACAGCCCAGTTGCAGTGGAGGTCCAAGAGCATCTCCTCTCTCAGGCTGAGGCACTGAGGTTACAGGAGATAGGGCTGAGAGCCAGACCCAGAAGAAGAGAACGATGAACAGAAACATTATGTGTGTGCATGCACACATACACACACACACATACACCCTGAAGTTGACAGACTAACAAACACAGACGTGATAACAACCAGAAGCTGGGACTCCACACACTGAATGCAGAACTTTAGGGGGTCAGAGAGGGAGAGTGATGGGGCACAAGAGGCAAGGGTGAGAAGTTCCTCCAAATGGGAGTGGAGTGCCAACCACCCTGCCTTGCCCCAAACACCTGCCTCCAGGGCCATGGCAAGAGTCCAGTCCATTAAGTGCAGCGTGCAATACTAGTGCTTGGAGTCTCCTGTCCTCATCAACGAAGCGGTGTGGACGGGATAGCAGTAACCTGGCAGGAGGCCTGGACCCCTGGCAGGCTAATTGTATCGGCCCTTGATCATTGTGTTCAACAAAGGTCCCACCTGTAAAAAGATAGGAGGAGCCAATCAGAATTGTCTGTCCTCTAGTCCTAGAAATTGAATTAGGAATTTCTAGTGATATTAAATATTCAGCCAAGGAAAGGGAAAAAGTTTTCATTCAATCCTGTGAACCCTCTAAACAACCTTCCTAAAGGTTAACCCAATATTGTAGACATGACCCATCTTGGAGAGCTATCTTGTATTACCTTCCCTATCAAAACATCCTGTATCTGTAAGCAGCACCAACAGACAAGAGAAGGTCAAAAGAACTAATAATCTCCAAACACCCAAGAGCAATTCTGCGTATTTCTCCAATGTGCCTAAAGGATGCTGAATGTAGCCAGGCCTGTGACACACACCTGTAATCCCAGCAACTCAAGAGGCTGAGGCAGGAGGATTACAAGTTCAAGGCCAGCCTTAGCAACTTGGTGAGATCCTGTCTCAAAATAAAAATAAAAAGAACAGGGATATATTTCAGTAATAAAGTGACCCAGGGATTCAATGCCCAGTACAAAGAAAACAGCTAAATGCTTCTGTATCTTCAACAAAAGGCCATGTAATTGGGTCTGGTGCCATCTCCCTACTCCACAGGCATCTGTGGATGCCAAGGTTACCCACAGGAAGGAGGTGAGAGCATTTCAAATACAAACCTCCCCCATTTACCCAATAGGCCAGTGCTGTACCTGCGTGGGAAGCAGGTTTCAACACTACCTAGAGCAGCCTTGGCCAGCTGGAAGAGCACACGGAGATGCTTTACTGCACACTTTCCGTTCCAGAAGAATCCCCTCAGGGGTCCCCAGCTGGCACACAATCCCCATGGGGAACATTACTACTAGCATGGAACAGATTATAATTGATCCGCCATTCAAGCCCAGCCCTTACCAGAAAACAGGATTTTTAAAACACACCCATAACCTCTATGGAGAGAGAGGACATCAGATACTGAGCGGAGTTATGTTGAGAATGTCACACCAACTCTGACTTACCTCTTGTGGGTTCCCCAAAGCCTCTCCAAGCATCTTTTCAATGTTTCTCATTATGGCAACTTTCTGATGAGCTTTGAGAGGATATTCAATTCTCTTAGGGGTAGGTGCCCCCTACAAAGAAAGCAGCAGCTCAGGAAATGCCTTTAGCAGTAGGTACCAGTGTCACCCACTCCTATACCATTCTCCCTTCCAAGAAACTAATTCAATCTTATTCCTCTTCATCTCCACCAAAGACCTGAAGAATCACCTCCAGGAACAGCCAACAACTTCACAGAAGCCCCCAAACCATTTATTACACCTACCTCACCCCAGCCTCAGTTTCATCTGGGGGGAAAAAAAAGAAACCAACCATATTCACCTTATACCAGAAGTTCACAGTGATGGTAATTCCCCCTTTAAGTAATGACTCTATGTGATGCCACCTGCAAGAAAACAAACAAGCTCCTGTTTACTTTTCAGATGAAGGATAGAAAATTAGATACGAGACCAGTTAAAGGAAACAGCAAAGATGCAATTTTTATGCTCATCCTATAAAACACATGGGCTACAGGCAGTAGTGTTCAGTTTCTAAACACCAAAAAGGCAAGAACAGCTTCTTCAACCAAAAGCCCTGGGATCTCTTTAGATTTGAGGAATGGTCCTCTTTTCCTGGAGATAGGATTGTCATTTCCCCCATGGTCAATATGCTCACATTTGGATATGCCAATGGTCCTCTAGACCACATAAGAGCAATCCTGCTACAACTTAATAGACATAAATAAATAAAGCTTTCTAGGGAATGAGGAAGTTCCCAAGAGGCACCCATCCCTAGCCACTTCCTCACCAGTACATTGGGATGTAAAGAACATCACCAGGGCCAACCACTGTTTCATAACCAACCACGTTTTGGAAATTGGGGAACCTCTCGTAGTCAGGATTGTCAAAGTCCACCTAAGAGGTTCAAAACAAAAGAAAAAAGAGCAGTCAGTCAACAGTTTCTACAAGTAATCACTATATACTAGTTACCTTGGTACTTAAAAAAAAAGTAAAAGATGCCTTTAAAAAAGTTTTTAGAATTTATATCTAGCAGAAGACACAATGCACATTAAACTCTCTTTCAGAGAACAACATAAGGTAGCCCATCCTTGAATGTTAAATGATAAAAAATTCTAAGCTTCAGTGCTTCTGAGATCCAAAGACCTGTAAGGAATTAGGACTCATCTGTCAACAACCCTTCAGAAACTTTTCCCCAAAGAACAAATTCTAATCAGCAAAGACTCCATGAAGTAGCAAGGCAACTTTCTCCTCAAAAAGGAGAGGATGTCTGTAGCTGGCCACAAAGGCAAACACAAGCCTTACTTAGGTCCAGGAAACATAGTGATGTAGCTCAATTCTAGTCATCTTTCTCTGTATCAAAAAGAAATAGCATATGTGACAAAAATAACAATTAAATCCAATGGAGGTATATGCATTTTATTCCATGAACTTGTATGCCCATCAGAGTAACCTGAGCCCACTAGCGTCACTGACGGGGTCTGCCTCTGAGAACTAGCTCCATGGGCTATTTTCACTTGTAAACATCTGAGGACCAGCATAGAAGCCTGAATTATGTGAGCTGTACTATGAAATTATCCTCAGGGCTTATCAGTAAGAAATGATCAACCTGTAAACCAAACCTGCTACTGGGAAGGAGAAAGACATTCCCACCATTTAATTTCAAAGGCATTCCTAGAATCTAGAGTTCTACACCCTTCTCAGACCACACAAGCTCACCTGGCTCTGTCTGTCACATGGGTGATGAACAGGATATGGATAGAGGCACTCAAACTGATCCGGAGGGAATAAGATGCATCGCTTATGGCCTTTTATCTGGGCAAAGAAGTTCTGTTGCTCATCATAGTGAGCAGGTGTCACATTTCCTGCAGGACGAAGGACATTTTCTTACCTAGAGTACTGGTTCTAGTGTACAGGCTAAACAGAAAGCTCAGGGCTGGAGAGAAACTCAGCCTACCCTCCCAGTTAAGGGTCCCAATCAAATTTTAGACAGAATCAGGGAAATTACAATGCCAATCTTAGCAAATTAGATGTTACATTTTTATAGATAGTAAATCTAGAAAACATCACAGGTAAGGGTCCACCATCAGCTAGCAAAGTAGATATTTCTAAATGATGGTTGCTGTCTATACTGTAAGCAAGATCAAAATGGTACAGTCTGGCAGGGTAAGATACTACGTATACTTGTACCTTCTTGACTATGTCAAGAATTCAAGGGAAATAAAACAGAAATGACTAGTCAATGCATGCATTATCTACTCTGAGGAGTTAACCTGTCATTTTAAGTTGTATGAATAGGTTTTTGCTTTGGATAGCTCTTTTGGGGCCTAGAGATTCTAAGCCTTTGCTCCCACTTCACCATTCATGTGGGATGCAACACTTCTCAATGCAACACTGGGGCTTACTGGGGCGGCTGACTCTCACTAGAAGGAAGCTTATCAGATCAGTGAAGAGGTTGTTGTATAATTTAAATTAGAAACATTACTTAAAATGCATAAATTAGTTCTCCCCTAATGTTCTATGTCCCACCTACTCATAATTGGATCACATCTGTATCCTTTGCACAGTCCTTGAGTAGAACACACACATCTACACAGAGTTTAGAAAACACTCCCAGCCCAGCCTGGGTATGCCAAACAGTTGCCTTATTAACTAATGAGAGTTCACATGCATCCTCAAAGGAAAGGTGCTCTCTCATCTCTACCTGAGGAATTCACTTCCCTGCGCCCTACTGTAGGAAAGGAAAGCAACAGAAAGGTCAAAATCAAGGAAACCAGAAATGGTTCATTCCTGGCAGACCAATTAAGAGCTGGTTTCACAAGCCATATTGCTGGAAACTTTTTATACCCACTGTAGCAAAGGATTCAAATCTGAATAAAGGACAATGAAGGGAGAAGAGACTTCAGAGCTCAGTAGTGACTGATGAGTAATGACTCTGCTTCCTTGTTCAACAAAATTTATTTACTATTTGTTAAGTATGGGCATGACACTGAGCTAGTATGGAAATAAAAATGAGAGACAATGATCCTGCCCTATAAATAGTGTTCTTTCTCCTGAATGAAGTTTAAATGTTTCCCTTTTTATTCAAAATTAAACAAAACAAACATACACCAGAAGAATACACTCATGTATTTGCTTGTATGTGTATATAATTTTCTGGCAAGAAACACAAGTGACTAATAACATGCAGTGCCTCTAAGGAGAGAAACTGGGGCAGCTGAGAGACAAAGGTGGAAGACAGACTTATGGCTATGTTCCTATTTATGTAGGTATAAATATCTACCTAAGTGGTTGAATTTATATTAGAAAAATAAATTTTCCCAACTTTTGACTGGAATAAAAATCTTCTGAATATAGACAGGTCCGAAAGAGAGTAGCAGCCTTTCAGAGAGGTCCCTAACGTCTCAATGTATGTACTTACACAGATGAGGAAGGGCAAAGGGAATTTTTTGTTTTTGTTTTTAGAATGCATGAATCTAGCTTAAAATTTATTCACATTTCATTTTTGTAGCTATAAGATAGTATCATATTCCTTTTGGGGTATGAGGAAGCTGAGGCTTAAAAAAGTTCAGTGACTTGTTCAGAGTCATGGAGGATGGGGCTGGGGCTGAGCGACAGCGTACTTGCCTGGCATGTGTGAGGCACTGGGTTCAATTCTCAGCACCATATATAAATAAATACAATAAAGGTCCATCAACAACTAAAAAAATTAAAAATAATAATAATAAAAAAAAGAGTGGAGACAGGATTATAAAACAGGTTTGTGTGATTTTAAGCCATGATGCTTTCTGAAAGATTTCTTACCTTCCATGCCAATGAGCAGCAGGTTAGAGGTCAGCTGCCCCCAGCCACGTTTTCCCTGTTGCTTATTAATCCAGTTCCAGTTAAAACCCAAGAAGTCCATGACGATCTTCCTGCCCACAGTGTCATTGAGTGTTTGCTGCAGATACAACCTACATTCCCCATGAAGAATATTCCATCAGTGCCTGCGCGCGCACACGCGCGCACACACACACACACACACACACACACACACACACACACACACACACACCTGGCATGACCTCCCCATATCTGGAAATACAAACCCAAATCCACACCACACCAGCATCTCCCGCAGAAAACAGCTATAATCATGTAATTTTAACCAACATGAGCTGGGTACAGTGGTGCATGTGTACAATCTCAGTTACCTAAGAAGCCAAGGCAGGAAGATCACAAGTTCAAAGCCAATCTGAGCAATTTAAGGAGAACTTGTTTCAAAATAAAAAATAAAAAGGGTTGGGGATGTAGCTAGTTGTAGAGTACCCCTCGGTTTTGGTTCGATCCCCAGTACCAGAAAATAAACAAAGTCTCATTACATTGCCCAGAACAGTCTTGAATTTGTGGGCTTAAGTAATCCTCTTGCTTCAGCCTCCCAAGTATCTGAGACTAGAGGTACATGCTACCATACCCATCTCAGAAGTGAATTCTAATTTAACTTCTATGAGCTCTGTTCAACATCAACTTTTTAAAAAAATTCTTAATCTTTTGTGTCACAGCATAAATCCTTTAAAAATCCTAGGTTCTCCACAATGATGTAATCACACACAGAATTTTCACACAATTTCAAATGCCTGGAAGTATTTCCACAAAGGTTAGAATGATGAATCTGCTTTGCTCTAGAGACTCACTCTCAAGGCCTGAAACATCTCCTTTGGCCTGTGATAGCTATGTGGTAAACTATCACTGTTCATCAAAAGCTGGTCCCACCCTGTGGAGAAGTTATTCTTCCATACCTGCTTAAAGCCAGGCATGCTTATTTCACTTGCTTTGGCCAGTGACACATCCGGAGAAGGGACTTATGTTGCTTCCAACCAGAATTTTAAAAAACAGTCTACACTATTCCACATGTGTTTCTGTCACAGCAACTACAAAGTTCCAGGTAGTAGCTACTGGGGCTATTTGGGTCTCAGAGTGAACAAGATAATGTAAGAACAAAATGATGTGATACATGATGAACATAGTAGGAGTAAGAAACTGTTGTTGCATTTCCCTGAGATCTGGCTTGAAATTAGTTTATCTTAACTGATCCAACAGTTATCTGTAACAGCATTCAACAGTTGAAGTACAGAGGACACCTCACTGGGTGCATGCCCCAGGTTCCTAATATACCTGAGGAAAGTCACAAATTACTTAAGGGATATAAAAATGTATACACATTTGATCAAGTTCCATAAGAAACATTAATAAGAGAGCAAATTTGAAGAAGAGAGAGAAGCAGCTCTGTCCTGGTCCTAAGAATGGCAAGCCCCTCAAGGGCTCAAAGGCCTCTCACTGCCTAATATCATAATAGTTAAGGCAATATTAATTAGAAATCTTAGTAAGTTGGAAACACTAGCTACATGGAACCATCAAGACTCAAACACAACCTCAGGGTTCTCCCTAAAGATTATCATGTACATATTTACACAAAAAAAATTTACAAGTAACACTTTGAGTCAGGGACACTCCCCAAACATAAACCTAAACAATATTCCTATTATACTTAAACAACCTGAATGGTTATAGTGAAGTTAGTTGGTGTTAAAGTCAACTGATAAGGCAAAACCTTATGGTCATTCACCATGAAGTCTCAATGACTGTAACTGCCCAGAGGCAACCTTACAGAGTGCAAAGCCATCTGGGACCTATAGAAGATGCTATCCTTTTAAGCTGGAATAAAGGAAGAAGAGAAGAATCATTCTCCTGAATGTTTCTTGTGTTTGCTATCTATCACCGATAACTGTGGAACATCAAGTCTCCCTTCCACTCTAATTTTCTGTAAATGAAGAGTTTCCCAATACACATTTAAACCAGAATCACAACAAACTATACAACTTTTCATCATGAACTGTCCCCAGTCAGCACAATACTTTAGGACAAAGGCTGCAAACTGGCTATCTCAGAGCTAAATCCAATGACAGACATTTTTGTTTGGCCCCTGCAGCTTTTGGTTAAAAAAAAAAAAAAAAGTGAGACTACCGCCTACATTTAAAAGTCAAAAAATTTTAAGCAAATAAAAAAATCCTCATTTTGAACCTCTTCAGAAAAATCCGAATATCTAGTAATCTGCAACTGCCCTCCCAAATGGAAACAAGCAAAGTAATAACTTCTCACTTGAACAGAGTATATGTGTGTGTATGTATATATACATACACACACACACACACACACACACACATGACGACTTCAGCTTTATTAGTTTCCATCCATTCAGCTGCCTGACTCTTCTAGACAACTGTGGCTCTCCCTGTATGAAGATGAGAAACTATTATAAAGATTCACAGCTTAAGTCTAATCATTTTTTTATCCCTCAGGCTAAAAAACCAGCTGGTTTTAGTTCCAAGAACAACTAAACCCCCCACAGGACAGAACAGTCAAATATTCACTTGTCAGATATACAGATATGGAAGATACCAATCTCCACTCCCCCAACTCTACCACATCTTCAAACAAGTTCAGAAAGGAAAAACGGATGTCTCAAATCCAGTGAAAAACCAAGATCTGGGAACTTACCTCTCATCCCCACCTTGCTGCTGTATATCCTGCAGTTTCTCAACAAATTCATGAAATTTCATTTCCTCCCTATTGGACCTCGGTTTAAAGTTCTGGAAATTAGCCATCTTCTTCTCATCATAGTACAAGAACTTGTGAGTGCTGGCACTGTACACGGAAAAGTCCCCGTTGCCAATATTCTCTTGTAGGTATTCAAGATCCCATTTTAGAGCAGGATACACAAGATTTGTGTCAGTCAGCACTACAGGTTCCTAAGTAAAAATATTGGATGAAAAGAAAGAAAAGAAATCCCAAGGTGCTAGAGAGCTCTCCTCCCATGATTCAAACTACTTCCCAGCTTCATAACAATCTCTCCCATTAAGGAGTACGAACTCCTTAAATCCATTTTTCCTCTCCATCCCCCTTTAAGTCCTAATCCACAGACCGGCCAGTCCCCACCTCTCTCACCATTCGCCCCTGACCTCTCCTCCCAACTTGGTCTCTTTCCCCTCCCACTTTAGACGCAGCCCCGCCCCCCACCTCATTTTCGATGAGCTCCTCCGCCCGGGGGTCGCTCTGACTCAGACGCGGGATGGGCCGGGTCGGGAAGCTATAAGTGCGCAACTGCGATTCATCCCAGGCGGGGCCCAGGGCTTCAGCCTCTTCCTGGGGCTCTCCAGATCCCGAAGCTGCAGCCTCAGCTGCTGTTGCCGCCATCTCTGCCGCTAGGGACGGCCCCGCCGGAAGCGGAAGCCCCGCCTATTCCGGACAAAACCCACAACGGAAACCATAGAGACGAACTGCAAGAAAGAGCTGTCCAAATAATACATTCAGGACGCGGCGCGGAGGCCTGGGGGAGCTCCTCCTAAAGGTAACCTATAGATCTGCATCCTAGGCTCCACTCCTGGAAAACTAGAGCTAGGCCTCAGTCCCACGGAATAGGGGTGGTCACCCAGTAAACTAATCCACAAAATATTGTACCTCTGTGTTCCCAGACCTACATAAGAGACAAAGAAAGAGGAAAGTTTAAGCTTAAACTTTACACGCATAGATGGGGAGAGAAGCACACTTGACCCACCTAAAGATGTCAGAAGGAAGAGCAAATTGCTATGTTGATAAATGTTAGGCAAAAGCTGCTTGAAGGTTGAGGCAAAGGATATATGTATGGCAAGTTGAATTCCTTTAAAATCAAGAGAAGAGCTGGATGTGGTGGTGTGCTCCTGTAGTCCAGCTACTCCAGAGGTTGATACAGAATCTCTTGAGCCCAAGGCAAGCCTGGGCAACATAGTGAGATCCCATCTTTTTTAAAAAAATAAATAAAATAAACCAAGGTATCATTAGATTTTTCTGTCTATGCCACCATCTCTCCTGCTTGAATATATTCTTGCCAATGGGAACAGTGTTACTATTAGTGGCCAATCATGGGCCTCTCCCATTTCCAAACAATCTATCTTGGTTATAAAAGGTCTTATTAATTACTCTTGCTTACTTAGTTCTTATGGCTGACTGTGGAAGGCCAAATTCTAAGAGGGATCCCAAGATTTACACCCCGTGTTGTACATACCATGTATAAATCTCTCCCCTTAAAGGAAAGCAGGACTTGGGAATATGAAAGGGTAATACACTAATAATTAGATAACATTATATGGCAAAGATGTAATTAAAGTCCCTAATCGGTTAATTTCTGAGCTAATCAAATGGGAAATTTAGCCTGGTAGGCCTGAATTTATCACTTAAGCCCTTTAAATCTGGGCCTAGGGCTGAGGATGTACCTCGGTGGTACAGCACTTGCCTAGTATGTGCAAAGCCCTGGGTTCAATCCCCAGCATCACCCCCCCCC